GCCAAGAACACACCTAAAATTCTCTATTTATTAAGAACTTCTATGAAGAAGACACCCCACATTCTTCTGTCTATTCAACAGAAGAATAGAGGCCTGATTAAGTCTACTAAGCAGCAGTTCTGATTCCCCACCCTCAGGAAACGTTCATATTTCTATAAACTCAAAAGAATCTAAGAGACTGGCAGCCAGTACTGCTAAGCAAGCTTTCTGGAGAGAATTACCCACAGTTAAACCACAAAAACAATTTATGTATTGAAAAATGCAATTAATATAACTGTCCCAGTGCCATAAAGTCATCTACAAACTGCTAATTGCCCAATCCTTCAGCAGCATCTCATGAAAGATGCTGTCTATCCCAGCAGCGTCTTCCTTGGTCATACTGAGACATCAACCCTTTAACTAATTAGAAGAAAATAGATCATCACCTCCCACATTTCTAACTGGCAGGTCTCATTTGGTAAAGAGGCCACTCAACAATTACAAAAACTAGCAACGTCAGTCTGGATGAAAAGTCATACAAAGCCCCTGTGCAGTAGGTGTGCACGTGGCTTTAACTCCCAAAGTCTTTTGTTCCATTAAACTCCAAGCCTTGGGCAATCTGATCCTGAGCACAGGGCTCTTTTCCACCCATCTGCAGATCAAGTAGCCAATTCAGCTCACTAGTGCAAAGATTCAAAGAAAACATCTAGATTCAAAGAAAACATCTACAGGACATCGCATTGGGCTGAGCAACAAGAAACTTAAAGGCTAAAGCTGCTCTGAGAGCTGGTGTTCATGTCGGACTGGAAAACAATCTGAATTTGACCTGAAATAAGGCCACAAATTTCGTATTTTTGCAGCAGATAAAACTTGGACAGCTTCTGGGGTTTGCTATCTTGTCCATCCGTTGTTATGTGGTATTGCTGCTGGGGCAGCACCGGGATGTTGGGACAGAAGGAGAAGACAGCACATAAGGGTTCATCTAGTAAGTTTACCCACAAATTTATTCAAAGCAGACCATGCTCACACTTCCTCCCACCGCATCCTTAAGAATACCCATAGCTTGCTACAGATCAACCTTTGTCAAGAACGTTTGGTAGGCCAACTAACTTGTCTTGCAGCTTGGCTGAGGAGGTGGTCTAGCAGAACAAATTGCATTTTAAAATAAGATATTAAAACGTAAATGCTAATGTTTAGCTACTTCTATACTGTCTTGGCATTAAAAACATCCCTGCTAGCTTCTTTTTCTTCATTGTATTTTAGTCAGGCAGCTAATTCACTTTAAATATCCATCAGGAGGAATTTTAGTATAGGTAGTTGTTTCCATGGAGCAAAATTTTCAAAGGTTATGTCCCTTTTTCCAGCTGTGCTCAGTCTTTGAAGTGACAAAATGTCTCCAACCCTGTCAAGGGAAATTAGGATGGGGGGTGGAAACGAGGCTTGGGTATAAGGAGCTTTTAAAACTCAATATGTGAGTAATCTTATTAAATTAAATTAAGTTCAGTATTGATAGTAACTATGATGCAGGACACATGAGCGAGATAACTGTGCAAAGAGTGGTTCTGTCACCCATCGTAATTTTGTTTTCTTGAAAAAGTTAAAAGTGTTTTGTTTCCTGAAGGAAAAAGCGCTAAATCTAGCGCGAAGTTTACTGTTTTGTCAGTAGCACTTAGGTTTATAACAACTCTCAATAATATTCTAACCGGTTTCCTTTTATCTGCTGATATAATACAGCAGGGTTTGACACCTTTTTAGACATGAAAAGACTTTATCTTGTCTCAAGTAACAGCTGCCATTCGTCTCTTTCACCACTATATTTCCAAGTATCTTTCTTGACATAAGAGCACAGAGCCAAGCCTCTGCAAAACTTCAAAGTTAAATAATCCCCTTCTCCAATTAGGAAATTTCTCTGTTAAATAGCAAAAGATTTATTGAGTTTGTCAATTCTACCAATAAAGTAGAAATTGGTAAATGCAACGAAAACTAATTTTTCCTTTTGTTAAGCATGTTCATGCATGTTAGTAAGTATTTCAGTAATATCTTCCAATGAAAAAAGTAAGAGCATGCATAGCTTGTTAGTGGGCTATATAGAAGTTGAGGGGCGGTTTTGGGGTGTTTTTTACATTCTAGTTTTTTGTAGCTCTCTATGTATATATTCCATGCAAACAGTATTTATTTTCCTTTCTGGCTGATTCCCCATGGACCTGAAATAGTGAGTTACAATCACAAGGAATGCCAAATAAATGTTTCCCTTTGTGAAGCTATGCTAAATAGATTTGCTACATCTAAGCAGATGTTTAATACTGTTTGTAAGTGGAAATAATGGTATTTATACTGCTATGACAGAACCTATGGATCTGCTCTAGATCTCCACAGGAATTATTCAAGCTAGAGGGATGCTGACATCAGCAGTGACAGCCCAGGTAAAGTACTCGGGCTGGTACAGTAGTTCTGCGGAAAAACTTTCAGAGAAGCACCTGAAGAACGAAGGATCTTTTACTTGCCCCAGCCTCACAGCAGGTATAGTTTTATTACTTGAGACGAAGCACCCTGTTTGGGCTGATCAAGACAGATGATACATGCAAATATATTCAGGGCATTGGGCTGATGCATCACATTTTTATACTCACAGCCAGTTTAACATAATCTTGTAGGAATATTTCCTGCAGAAGAAAGTTTTTTGTTATACACACTCAATTTACTTAAACATTTTCTTCAGAAGTGTGAGAGGCTGCAAAGCAGTCAGCTTTGGCACAGTAAGAACAGTTCCCAAGAAGAAAAATCATCCCTAATCTTTAGATTGAGTAAATTACAGAAAGATGAGAAATCAATCTCCCTTCTGTAACAAACCAGAAGTTTAACTCAAGTAACAGTCACCCCCAATGATACATGTTCTTGTGTGTATTTGCTGCCATGAGCAGCTATAAGCTAAATGAGAGAGGGCATCCTATACAGTTGTTTTCACATCTATTGCTGCTTCTAAACTAGTGGCAGAAAACTTGCACTAAATTGAGATGGATTGCAAATTAAAAAATTGAAATTTTTGTGCTTTTCATGCTTGAAACCCGGTTAATTGTAGCGATAATCAGCAACATAGTCTCTTTTTTTCCTCTCTGTGGTTCTTAATACCTTATGATTAAGTCTTATTTCTGGTTTCCATCATCCACAGAACATGAACTTATAATTTTGGCACTGTATTTTCAGCGAATCATCCATTAAAGCAGTCATCCCAGCCAGATCTGGAAAACAAACAAAAAATCCTCCAAGAACTGCTCTTGCCCCATAATTCTAAACAAAACCCTAAAACACAGAAACCCACACACCGTGGGTGCAATTGTATAATCCCTCCAAGAGAAGAGTGCATTCCCATACACCAGGAGCAAAAAAAAGTGAGGTCATTCACATGATATTGGCATATTTATTAATCAAAATCCAAACTATTGATTCCAACTTCCAGTATTCAAAATCAGCAGTAAGGAAAAGTATCATACATAACAAATACAGTATTTTTCCACAAAAAATGGTCTGATCTCTCCACTATTGACCACTGCATAAGGAATCTCTCCAATTACGGTCCTCAGGTGACTGCTACTCTTATTCTCCTTAGCAATTTTATTCTTCTACCTACCCATCAGACGGGGAGGTTAAAATGTCTCCAGAAGAGAGAAACCATCTTCAAAACTGAAAATAAGTTTCCAATGTTTTGGATTTTTTTTCTCATTTCCATAATACAGCTCTTATTTGCAAAAATAACTATAAATAAACTTTCTGCAGCTGCCCACAGAGCAAAATAAGAAACTACCATTTTGGCTAACTACAGATTGTATTATCTATAGCCTACCTATTTGTTCATTAAACACACCTGGAATTTAGCTTCCTAACTTTCAAAGCCTTCGCCTTTATGAAGAAAGAACTGACATTTTCATTAAGGCATGGATATTTTAATTTTCTATTGTTAACATTATATCTTGGTAAGAGCAGCCTTCCTTCCAGCTGGTCCACAGAAGAAGATATGAACACTTAAATGCAGGCAAAGAGGCATTTTCTAGTAAGCTGTTGAAGATAACTCTTTTTTTTTGTGTATGGACACAAGTTGCTTCTATATTAAAGAGGTAGGAAGAACACCTTAAAAAATGCAATTGTATCCAAGTTCCTCATTTAAAAACAAGCATTTACATGGTATTATTCAAAGAATCTGCAATATCATGATTAAATTTTGATTTTCTGTAACTTAACCTTCATTATAGGTAGAAGTGAGTGTTAGATGGGATTTTATATCTTTAAGAAAAAAAAAAAAACCCCATAACATCCAAATGATAAATGTTAATGAAATGTGATGGCTGTTTTAATCAAGTATTAGATATGACAGCTAAAAAACCAGAATATCCTTACATGACTTATTCCATTCTTTGGAATATGCACACACTCAAAGAACAGTTTATTATAGAGCATGGCAGATATAAATTTAGCTACCCTGCAAGGTACATCTGCTGCGTCTCTCTATCTGGTCCTTCAGAGATAATCAATACAGCTAGCATCCCAGGATTTGAAAACCCATTTTAAAACTAGCAAAATTAAATTAGTGGAGCAGAATGGAAAATTTTAGTTGGAAATAGCTGTATCACTTTGTCTTATCAAGAATATCCAACAGCAGTGCAGGCACTATTTTAATAACTAACTGCTGTACACAAAATCCTCACAATTGGCTGGGGAAAAAAACCTTATTTCATAAACAAACCTCCCTGCTACCTTGTATACTATACCCCGATTCTTATGTATCAAGTTCAGAAGGTTAGCAGGTCCAGAATAACTGGCACTTGCCTATAATCAGCTATTTGTTACTTTTGCTAACATTTTAATTTCATACTTAAGCTCCAGTATGCAGTATTTCACAGCACTTGATTCATCAAAACTGCATCAACCTAAAATTGATGGAGCATACTGCCTAAACTTTGAGAAAGAACTCCGTAAGAGCTGAAGGTTCAGAGTCAGTTATTATCACAATCTTTTTTATGGAGAGCCTAATCGATTTTGATTCTTCCTTTTAGTCTTTCAGACAGAGGAAGGGGACTGTCTGCCCATGTGTAAGTTAGAACAGCACTTTCGGATTGCTGCCTGGAACCAGAACTTGACCTCTCAAACGGTTGCTCTGGACTTTGGAAACAATTAACTTCCCCCACAGAGAATGGTTTTAGAGATACTTGCAATGACAAACTATTGCCAGCTTTTCTTAAATTGGTCTTTTTCTTCTGCCCTTTAATTATAAGGGCCGAGTCACTGTTTGTTCTTTTGTTAGTAACAACGTTACTCCTTTTCTTTGTAAAACATTTTTTAAACTGACCAGGGTTCAGTTGCCTTTTCCGCTGCTCATAAATCAGATTTTTATTCATGTTCCCACCATCACTGTCTTCACTAGAAGAGCATCTGTTCTGACACACACTCTTTTTATAAGAAGTTTTCCAAGTTGTTTGAGTACAAGCTTTTTTAATGTGACAGCCAGTTACAACATCTGCTGGCTTTTGAGACACTGGAAACATTTCACACCCAGGACGCAGTGACTCTGTTGTTTGCCCACTGAGGGCTAGAGATGTTGAACTGCTTATATTACAGTCTTTTTGCTTCATTTCAGCCAGGCTGTCAGCTCTTTTGTACTGACCTTGATAAATGCTGGATTCCCTTGCATAGTTTTCTGATAGCACATTTTTACTTTCCTGCACTAGTTTATTTAACTGACACGAAGAAGAGACATAATCTTTATCAGGATTCGATGTTTCTTTTGTTTGTTTAAAAGATTTCAGAGATTCCGGTTGCATTACATCTTCAAACAACGGGTTTGATGGAATGGAAGTCATCTTAAGTATTCGCTCACTCCAAGACCACTTCTGAAGTTGTCCCATAGCATCCTCTGAAACCAAATCATCTGCACTATCAGAATGATGATGATCAGACTGCATAGCATCAGAATATTCTAAGCTATTTCTTACTGTTTCATGACCTAGTGGATGCGAGTGTTTTATGTATGTAGTTAAGTCAGCTGCTGGATCATGGGTATGACCCCCATGGGCTGGTGAAGCACTGAAGAAGGTTCCTTCCCAATGAATACTGCTCAGCTGTAGATCAGCTGTTGCAGAGGAAGAGGATGATATCCCTGAAGTTTTAGTAAATTGTGCTGGCAATACAGGTGAGTCAGCCAACGTACTCTGTAAGAGCAAGTAAGGTGATGCAGTCAGAGTGGCTGCTGATGCTGGCAGTTGAACAGTTGTTATGCAGGAAGATGCAGCTAACACTAGATCTTTTGATTCAGTACTTCTCTGGTGTATCTCATCTTCTGGGGGAGTTTTTATATCTGACTTGGATTCTTGCACAGGAAGAATTCCACATCTAGATTTTAAATTAATTTGAGACAGAAGATCGCTAACTTCATCGTAAACATTTGATAATTCCTTTTCTTTTGGTCTGTCTTTCCTGTCTGAAAAAAATAACACAGGTATATCAAAATGGCATATAAACTACAGTTCAGATTTCCTAGTGCTAGTATAAAATGGTAAGATAAAAGCACAGTCCCTTCAAGTTATCATGCCCCGATCTTCGTAAAACATGATACTGCTCAATAGTGGGAGAAATGTTTGTTGCTTTTGCTTCTTGTATTCTGGCAAGTAGCATAAGTTCATAAGAAATAAGCTTTTGGACTTACTTTTCTGTTTCTTCTTCAGAACTTCTGACTTTTCCACTTGATAAAGGGCAACAACATCAGGATAAGCAGCCTGAAACAAAGACTGCTCTTCTACTGTGACTACAAACAACTCCACAGGCTCATCTTCTGCATCAACATAATGTTCTAAAAAATTAATGGATGTACATTAGACATCTATGATACACACATCTCAAAGTAGGGAATAAGAAAATCAAAGAACAAAAGATTTGAGTATGAAGAAGGTATGTAAAAAGGGCAATAGTACAATGTTTGAGATTTATCTACAAGTAAAACCTTTTTCTTTCTGCCAGTCTCCTGGCACAAACGGGCACTCTAAAGGTAGAAGTCTGTCACCACAGAAAAATTTCTAGCTAGCAAACAGTCACAGTTTCAGGCACATAGTGAAATAAGATATGAAATACAGAGTCCAGGTCTTGTTAACATGTACCAGAAAAAGTACCTGAAGATAGAGTCCCTTGTTTGCTAGGTATTTTTGATGTTTTTTTTTT